CATGCCAGGACTAGGACCATGCACCCAGTGGGTGTTAGGCCAGAGTTGGTAGGAACAAACCCAGTCATCCTCGGGTGCTCACAGGGCTCCAGTTTTTCTGCAGTCTGAAGGAGGCTCTGAGAAGGTAGGACTGTGCCAGAGGAAGCAACCCCCAGTCACCAAAGCCACGGCAAACACAGGAGCACGGCCCCCCATCCTCCAGTTGAGGCCTATGGGAAAATGCTCCATTGCATGTCTGCTTCTGGCAGGAGAAAGGCACAGCAAGTCTGCCTCGGAGCTGATCGGGTACATCAGTGTAGACAGGAAATGGACCCTGGGGGGAGTGAGCCTTGTCCTGGCTCAGTGGTGGACAATGACAACATCAACCTTCTGTACCCACTGCTTCCCACAACCCCTGCACCAGGGCTCAGCACTCCTAACTCCGGAGGACAGCCACGGGTCACCTGCATGCTCTCCCTACACTCCCAGGCCTGAGATCCACCACACCTTCCTCCTCCACGTGAGAGAGGATGCCTGGCAGAAGGGGCTCCTTAAGGTCACCATTTTGCAGACGTGGGAACAGCTCCATACATCCAAGTGTTCGTGGCCCATCCGGAAGACCCTAATGTCCTAACAAGAGCTCAGTGCTCACCCTGGCTGCCACAAGCATCAGTGGGAGCCAGTACTAGTCTCCCTGGAGAGCACATCTGCTTCCTGCCCAATGAGTGCCATCTCTGCCCCGTCTCCTCACAGGCCTCAGCCTCCAAGCCTGCAGTCTCTGCTGCCCCCTTCTCACACGGGGTAATGCGCTCTCCAGGGTCCTCTTAGGGACAAGGACCAGCCTTCTGGGGTTTCACAAAGGCTGAATTGTCAGCCAGCCCTCCACATGCCTCTGACCCATCCTCATGCCCTCCACACTGACTGCTCAGGGTGGCATCCTGTCCTCCCGCACCCCCACCTGGCCTCCTGTATAGAAGTCCTATTCTGTTTGGGTCGGAGCTCAGGTTAATGGAGTCATGAATCCCACCAACCTAGGACTTCAGCCACCATCTGACAGAACACAGTGGCTGTGTGTCAATACCCCTTATCTGTCCCTGAGTACCACTGAAGAAGCACCCTGAAATGATCCAGGCCACCTGAAGCTGTGGGAAGTGGTAACCTTGTGAGAATGGGGTCAGTCTGTCACAGCCACCAGGCCCAGTATCCCTGCCCCATGAAGATGTGTTTGGAGGGGTCTAGTCGATCCTTTCTGGATCTTTCCACTCTTCTAGATACCTGAATTCTTCCCTTCCCACCATCAAAGCTACCCCTCAGAGGTTCTGGAACCTCCCGTAAGTTAGGATGGAACCGTATTTCCTCAGAGGTGCTGCCCTGGGGCAACCATTGGGAGCTCAAAGTCTAGGACAGAAAGCCCTTAGGCTGCACCTGCAGGTTCCAGGCAGGTACACAAAGACCTCTGAGGGATCAGCCTCAGGGTCTGCCTGAGACAGAGCTTATCAGGCAGGGGGCAGGGCACCCCCCCACACTAGGGGGAGCAGCTTGCAGGGACCTGTCTTACGGGTGGGGTGAGCTCTCTTGCTGTGCAGTGGATTCTTACTGACCACCTCAGCAGGGGACACCAATTGTGTCTGGCGAGTAGGGTGGAGCTAAAGCTGAGTCCTGGCCTAGTCCTTACCATGCCAGCACCATAACTGAGTCACTCAAGACCTGGGACCACAGTGGTCACCCTAAGTGACTGCAGCTGCCCTAGGGTGGGGTGCATGAACACTCTCAGGACATCCCAACTCAGGCCAAGTGGGACCTCACCCTCCCTGGGACCCCTGATCCTGGGGAGTCTCAGTTCTGAGTAAGATGCTTGAGTCTTTGGGTGTAAGGCAGTGGTCTCGTGGACCCTGCCCATATAGTCTGTGTGAGGTGATGAGTGTTGAGGACTATTTCAGTAGATTCCAATGATCACATTCAAGATCCAGAGTGGGCCAGAATGCAGTTCAGAGCAGAGCATCTGCCTGGCACATCCCAGGCGCTGGCTTCCATCTCCAATACTACAAACAGATGCAAAGTAAAGAGACTCAACTGGTTGCCTCTGGGTAGCAATTTCTTTTTGCTTCTCTGCACTTTTATGCATTCCAAAATTCATTTCTAGAAAGATACATTTTTAGAAAGACAAAAAACTCTTGGGACACCTGATGGTGTGCATCTGGGCTATGGCTGAGGCTTCCACTCTCATGGAGCAGCTCTGCTGGTGTTTCTGGGATGTTAGCAACCCTCACAGATTCTGAGTGGTCCCAGGGCAGGCCACAACCTCTGGGCTCACCCACCCTACCCCTCAGTGTGGTTTCACAGTCCAGACACCTGCCCGAGCCTGCGTTGCAGGTGCTGCAGCAGGCACACCAGGTCTCCCACTCCAGGGTGGCCGCTCCATGTGCATGGTGAGAAGACTGAAAGCTGGACAAGAGGGGGCTTTCTTAGAGGACAGGGTTCCAGTTTGGGCTCAGGTACAGTTTGGGTTCATGTGACAGTGTCCAAGGGACAGTGGGGAGAGAGGGCAAGCTAGGAAGGTCCACACCAGATGTGTTTTAACAATTTAATACATTCAAGAATATTTACTAGCACAAAATGACAAAGTATCATTAGTCAGTCAGCAGAAGCCTATGATAGAAATAGAAAGGTTAACTGGCCCTTTTGCAGTAAAGCTTGTGCTTAAAGAGAAGAGGCAAAATGACTTTCTGGAGGCTACAAAGCAGGTACCCACTTTTAAACACACATGACCGTTACAGTTGCACACCTAGAGCCAACAGTGTTGTAAGGGTCCTAGCAGAAAAGGCAAAAAGTAATGCTTTGGAGTCCTGGCATCCGCAGACCCTGGCGCATACATGGGCAGTCTGATCCTCACTGGGGATGGGGGGCCTGAGATGAGCCTCCAGACAGGCGGGGCCAGGATGGTGCCTCCCAAGTACCATATTGGGCCTCAGTGTCCAGAAGAGACTTGCCATCCAAGTGACACAGACCATTGGTGACCAACCACCATCCTTCAGAAGATTCTGGAATTCCCCATCCCAGCATGAGCTGCTAGAGCTGGACTAGCAGCTCATGTGGCAAGGGACAAAACTGTCAACTGCAGGCTCAGCAAAGTCTTTTTAGTCACAAAACAGGGCCCCCATGACATAATAAATAATAAAAAATATGACCAGACACCCTGGATGCAGACAGTGGACAGGCTTTCGAGAACGTGAAAGAGAGTAGCGGCAGGAACTCAGAGAAATTAAGTGGCGAGACACTGGAAAAGATGGTTGCACGTGAGCCATCACTTATGCCGACAGCTGTCAGCAGAGCAACAGAAATAAGAACAGAACTTGGCCAGGGAAGACCAGGCTGGGCATCTGTGGAAGCTGGCATCTAGGGTGTCTTCTGGTGTGCTCTGAGGTTGATGCTGCCCACCTGGACTCTCTTTTAGTTGAAAATCTGCATTTCACCAAAGGCCGCAGCCAGGGGCAGCAGCCTGTTCTGCCAGGTGAGGACATTGAGGGAGCGCGGCTGGGCAGCACCAGCCCCCTGGTGATGACAACACTGCAGGCCGCACACATGCAGAGCCCACTTCCTAACAGACACTTTCTTTTCTACGCTCCACACATGCGTCAGACTTCTAATACAGAACATCATGCTTCAATGCTGACCCTCAGCACAGGACTGGACCGAGTGGGCCTCCTGGGAGCCTGCACCTTGCATCCAGTCCGTGGGGCTGCAACTGGGCTTCCACTGGTGGCCAGTCTTCCTCATGGTGCCGAACAGTTATAAGCCGGAAGGTACAGGTTTTGACAGTGTTCAAACCAACAACTACTGTCTTAGGCACACATGAGATGTGGGCTGTCTGCTCCCAAAAAGGGCTTTGAGTCCCAGCCTGAAAGTCCGCAGCAGACCACCTCCGAGTAAGGCTTCGGCTCAGACAGCACAGATCCAGCACCTGGGGAGGGCAGGCCTGGCCCCCTGAATCCCTGCTGACACCTGCCTTGGTGAGGAGGCACGGGCTACCCAGACAAGGGGAGGTAAGGCACTTTCTTACATTCCTGCTCAAAAGGCGTACATCTCAGTGACTCAGCAGTACTTTAAAATCACACTGTGGGCTCACTAAGCATGCCCTTTTCCTTGGCTACTTGCTACTTTGCTCCCTGTTCTGGCTGTATTGTATTCAGATTTGTTTCATTTCTTTTTTGTGTGTTTTTTTGCTTTTTTTTTTTTTTTTTTTTTTTTTTTTGGGGGGGGGGGGGGGGGGGTTTTCCGGTACCGGGAATCAAACTCATGACCTCGCGCTTGCCAGGCAGGCGCTGTTGACACTGAGCTAAATCCCCAGCCCTTGTGTTTCATTTCTATGCTTATTAAAACAATTTAACTTTGTGGGGGTTTTTTGTTTTTTGAAGACAGGGTCTCACTATGTAGCCCAGGCTGGCCTCGAACTCATGGCAATACTCCTGCCTCAGCCTCCCGAGTTCTGGGATTACAGGTGTGTACCACTATGCCTGGTTTGAAACAATTTAACTTTGATACTAACAGAATAAGTGTTATTTTCCACAATATTGCTCATAATAAATCAAAAATTTTAACTAAAACTCCTTTTGATCAGTCCTTCTTCTCAGACACCTGAAGCCAGAGCTGGGGCTAGAGGCAGGTGGCCAAGTACTAGGCAGGGGTCCTGCCTGCTTCCTGCCAGCAGCAGCCCAGCAATAGCGTGGACTTAGTCGGCTGCAGGCTGTGAGATGGAACCACCTGCACTGTGCTTCTACATACTTGCTTAACTCTAGTTGAAAACTCCTACATGGTGGTGGCCAGGATGGCTCTGTCACATGGAAGGGATGGCTTTCCCAATTCTGTGGTGACATACTCCTAGAAAAGAGACCCATGTAAAGGGCAAGGCTGGCTCTGCCCCAGCAATAAGGAGCAGACAATTGCCAGGCATTCACTTTCCCCCTGGTTCCCACCAGCAAAGAGACCCATGTGGGTGACAGTCAAGAAGTGCTGCAGCTGAAGCTTTTTACCAACCTCTAGAAATCTCCTATAATTGAATCCTTTCCCCCAAGTTTCGCTGGGTATCAGCCTTTTGTTTTTTGTATCCTAGGCACTAATGGAGTTCAATCTGTCTTCAGAAGGAAGCCAGTCTGCATGCTGTGTGCTATGCCCACATGCACTGGGTGGACAGGCCACATGGAGGAGCCCTGGTGTGTGCCACGGGCTACAGGCCTGAGTTCTTCTGATGCAGAGGTCCCAGGCTGAGGCTCACACGCTGCAGGACAGCCCAGAGCTGCTGAAAGCTTGAGGGGTGCATAGCTAAGGGTGTTGGTGTTGCTTGGTTACTGCCGAGGTCCCCAGTCAGCGGCAGCTCCTCCCAGTATGCTCAGGTTTCAAAGTACTTGTAGATCGCCGTCACGTACAGCATCACATTTTGCCAATCTGGCCGTTCAGTGCGTACCATCTCATTAATGTCCTAACAGAAAGAAGGGGCTTGGTTAGGGTTGCAGGTCACCTCCTGGCCCATCCCAGTGAGTTCATCAGCAATAGTGAAGGGTTTTTGTCTAACCCTAACTACGCATTTCACAGGCCTGGCCCAGAACACCTCCTCAGAAGTGCCTCCTGTAGGGGCATCAGCACTATCCCCAAGCTAGCTGCTTCTGCCTGAGCCACGTGCAGGGTCACTGACACAACCTGTCAAGGCTAGAAAGGTTTCATCTGGTCTAGGTGACCCCCCCACCTCATGTGCCTCTCTTCCCAGATCACTACCCATGGGACACTTCTAGAGCTATTCTTAACCCCAGGAGGGTGTCCTGTGTAGGGGACTCCCATCACATCAGCACTGATGACTTCCATCACCAGACAAGTCAAATATCATTAAAGATACTGACTTTTTTTGTGTGTGTGTACTGGGGATTGAATCCAGGACCTTCACATCACTACCTCTTCTTTTTTCACTTTTCATTTTGAGACAGGATCTCTCAAAGTTGCTAAGTTGCCCAGGTTGAGTACAAACTTTCAATCATCCTCCTTCACCCTCCCAGTGCTGGGATTACAGGCATGTACTACCATGCCCATACTGTTCTTTAACTGCAAGTTATCAGGGAGGCATGAATTGAGTGGGCAGGAAAATGAATGTGGGAAATCACAGACTGACCAGCTCCCACCCAGGTAGGTATACCTCATACCTGCAACTCACGCCTGTTACTGTTGAACAGCAAGGCCTGGTGCTGGTCAAAGAGGACCCTTTGATGGGTGAGGAACCTCAAATTTGCTGCAAAATGGGGGAGGCTGCCCAGGGTTATTCACTCACTGTAATAATCTTGACCATAAAGTTTGTTAGGACAGAAAAATCATCTACATTTTATACATGAAAATATTTACACTGTAATGTAAACTATTAATAGGGACATATGTGAATAACTTATTTCTCTCTAGAGCTGAACAGAAGCCACCCTAAGTAAGCATAGTTCTATGAATTTAAAACACATATTTATGGTGTAAATACTTCTTTAAAGCACATGCAGTTATTACAAATTGGGGTGATAAGCTGGGCGTGGTGGTGCATGCCTGTAATCCCAGCACTCGGGAGGCTGAGGCAGGAGGATTGTTGCGAGTTCAAGGCCAGCCTGGGTTACAAAGTGAGTTCAAGACCAGCCTGAACTACATAGCAAGACCCTGTCTCAAATGGACAAAAAATTGAGGTGATGGGTAGCCACAGGTGGGGAGGTGGCCCTAGAGGACTGTAGGTAGAACGGGGGGACCTAGGCCTAATGGGACTCTTCCTTTGTGAAAAGCCCTGAGCAGCTCAAATGAGGTCTGTGTGGGGTCTGTATGATGCTACGTACGGTATTCAGTTTACAGAGCAGAAGAATCCCTAGGTGTGGAAGCAATGTTTTACACTTGGACACAGTTATTTTCTCCCAGCAAGTCAGGCTTGGTGATGACAGTAAGAGTTCCTGACAGAAGTATGCCTGCTATAAGCTTTGGCAAGGACTGGGCAGAAATCTGTACAAGGACCTAAGACCATGCAATTTTCTACACTTGGTTCCTCAGATGTTTCAGGCAGGAGATGCCCTTGTAAGAAGTGCAGGCAACACTCTTCAGCCTATACACCTGTCCTCTTTGACTCAAGATGTACCTTATCCTCTCCCTCTACACTGACAAAGGGAACACAGACCTGTGCAAGGTGCTTTGACACTGACATTTATAAACATGAGTTTCCCCTGACCCCCCGAACCCAAAGATTCTGTAAAGGGAGAAGCAACTATAAGGACAGGCCTGCATGAGGTCTGCCAGGGCCTGTGGTCACTAGCTGCCTACCCACATGGGTGCTTCCTGAAGGTGCTTCGTGTGAGGCATAAAGCACCACAAGCAGTGGGTGAGATCCCACTTCAGCACCCACTTGGCTGGGACCCTCCCCACCCCACTGCTGTAGTCTCCTTATCACTATGCAGCTATACCACTCAGTGACCATGTTCTTCCTAATCAGGAGCGCCCTGCAGTGACCTCTCACCAGGGACTCACCAGTGTGGATTTGATGCCAACACTTTCAGCTGCCTGGAAGGCCAGTGTGAAGTTCCTTTTCTGTAAGAGAAATCATGTCACTGGAGTGCATGGGCAACACAAGGAGAAAGGTCACATGAAGGATGGATACCCAACTCTACTTAGGACCAAAATGAGCTACACTGTGGCCCTCAGGACTCCTCGTCTGTACAAAGTACCTGTGGATGCCCAGGGTGGGCCCTGCCACTACGGCTCTTTTCCAGCCAGTTACGGAGCTGTCACACTTGCGCTTTCCTCACTCAGAAGCTCACTTCCAGCATGATGACTCTGAGTTAGCTGGGTACACACCCAAAAAGCTAGAAACATACCTCTGCCAAGGCTTTTCTTCCTGTGTGGGTCTTCAAGGGCTGCCATGGTGAGAGGTGGGGACCCAGGGCGGGGTCCAGGGCCTGTTTCCTGACCCTGAGGAGCTTCATGGATCCCAAACCATGGCTTGTGACTGCACAGGGTTGCTGTTTCTCATCAGTTCTGAGACCCACAATGCTTAGTGGGCTATGAGTGATAGTCTTGGTTCTGAGGTGACAGGAAGCTAGCCTTTTTGGGGTGATACTGATCTGATCATTCATGCCATAAACAGCCCTTCACTGTCCATTTTTGAAAGCTTTTTAAAAATACCAGGAATCAAATTCAGGACCTTGCGCTTGCCAGGCAGGTGCTGTGCTGCTGAGCTATATCCCTGGCCCCTCACTGTCCACTTTTGAAGCCCTTGGCCTAAATGTCAGGAAGGACTGACTACTCCCACTGGAAATGATGTCATGTGGAGAATTCTGAACCAATCAAATATTCCTCACAGGGTGGTTGAGGGACCAGCTGGCTGGGCACAAGTGACTAATCTCAGAATGAGGCTGAGCCAGAAGGGGGCTGTTTGGAGCCCACACTATAGTGTGTGACCTACTGATGGTGGGCACTGCCCTCGGTTCTCATGCTCTTGCTCTGTGAGAGGACAGCAGGAGCAGGTGTCCTGTGGTCTGCCTTACCTTATCTTGGCTGTTCAGTTCTTGATATGGAATATGTGCTGGAAGATATGTATGCAGGAGTGCACAGAAAGCCAACCCATCGTTCCAGCTGCTGCTGAAGTTTGTGATGTCAATATTCTGAGGGGGAAAGAAGACAAACAGGTAAGCAACACACAGTGTGATCCTCTGTGGAAGTGCTAAGGAGGACAGAGAGACCTCTGACATCATGTGGCCTGCAAAACCAAACCAAACCCTGGGCAGGGTGAGCTCTGGACCAAAACATGTTGGAAGGCTGTGTCTCAAGGTCCAGCTGGTGTCCGTGTCTGGACCTGTATGGAGTGCCCTCAGCCTACCACCACCTATAGACCACTGCTCCCACATGTTACTCCTGGGCTTGTGACATGAATTATAAGCTGCTCCATACACTGAGAAGCCTTCAGGCTGCTGAGGTTGGCCTCTCCTATGGCTGGCTATAGTGACAGCACAGACTGCAGATGTGGGTGACAACCTATTAGACTTAAAGCACCATTTATTAAAATGCAACTCATTCCCCACTGTTTGCTGAAGTACTTGAAAGATCCATGAAGTTAGCATGTATCTCAGAGCATGAGCACATAAGGACACTGACCCACCTGAGATGCTGACGTGCACCAATGACAAAAAGCAAAGGAGAGCCTGGCCAGGCCTCAGCACCATGGCCCAAAGACAATCACCATAGTTTCCACCACCATCCACTCACAGTTAAGAAAAATAATTTTAACGCTGGGCTGCGTAATCCCCATGCCATGCCACCTCTGAGAGTCATCACAACTTTAAGGGGTCCCTTATCCCATGTCTGAATGAAAAATATTCGTGAATATGCGAATATACTCAGAATGTTTTACCATATGGCTACCCAGCCGGTATGTAATCTGTACCCTTATTTGCAAGAACCCTGTAGAAGATGAAACTGTACATTTAAGTTTTGATAATTCACACATTTTATATAAACTCTACAAACTGAACAAGAACAGTTTCCCCCAATATTTTAAAAACTCTTTAAAAACCTTTTCTTTTTTGAGGTAGTGAGACTTTAACTCAGGGTCTTTACATTGAGCTACAACCCAAGCCCTTTTTTAAATCCTGAGACAGGGTCTCGCTAAACTGCCAAGGCCAGGCTTGAACTTGTGATTTTCTTGCCTCAGCCTCCCACAGTGCTGGGATTTCAGGTATGCACTACCAGGGTTGGCTCAAACTCATAGTTCTTAGTACCAACGGGGGGATCCATTGCTCAGAGAAAAGGAGCAGGTGGGGACAGGGACTGAGGCTCAGAGTTGTGAGGGTGTGTCTATGTAACCAGTGAGGGCAGGCCAGGCCAGGCCAGACAGCCATTCTGGGGAGATGGGCTTCATGTAGCCTCACAGCTCTGGGTGGTCCTTCCACTGAGCAGGACAAGGCTGACTTCTCATTAGCTTCATCAACGATGCACATTTTCTTAGCCCTGACTGGACGTGTGCAGAATGCTGCCCTCTGCCTGTATCTATTCCAAGTACGGACCCTTCTGAAGGGCAGCAACTCTGACAGCGATTATTTCACACGTCATTTTCCCTGACTGACCTGATCTGCTACTGCTGCTTCCAGTTTCTCTAGCGTGACCCAGAAACACTGTTATTGACTGCTGTGAGTAAAAAGACCAGTTAAGGTACAAAAGGGAAGAAAAACCTGCCAAGCATTATTGGAAGGAGGGTGGTGGTGGCCGCCATGCTGTGTATGACTTGGGTATGGAAGGTAGTACTGGCACTGTGTTGTCTGATATCTGATACCAGCCCTCTCCCAAACCAGGGCCAGGTCAGAATCCTGCCTGCCTCAGTGCCACAGCCATTAGCCTTGCTGGTTGTATTCCACAAGATCTCTCTGCTCTGACCCTAACAGTCACCACTTAGATTCTGATGGTGTCATGAAGAACCTCAAAACAAATGATGTTTGATAGTTACTGCTAATTGAGGAACACACTCACTCACACTCACACACACACACACACACACACACACACACACAGTTTCTCTTATCTAAATTTCAGAAAGTAGTCAGCAAGAATAGGCAGATCCACCCATCCGGGAAGAAAGTAGGACTAAGAGAACTGACCTGCTATCTAAGATGCTCTGCAGGCTGCAGGGAGTACAAGGACAGTTATCCTTGGCCCATGTACCTGTGAGCAATATATCTAATTGTCACAATTACCCCACGACCTCTTATGTGCTAGGCCAGTGCTCTACCACTGAGCTACATCCCCAGTCTACCTGGGAGTGGGAGCAGTCTTGCAAGAGCTATGGCTAAAAAAAAAAAAAAAAAAAAAAAAAGAGCTATGGCTCAGAAAGGATCAGACTGTCCCCAGGCACAGGCAGTTTGGTGATTTAGCAAAGTCAGACCTAACTAGCACAACAGGGTTGTCTTACTTTCCCACAGGTGTCAGGGAAGATTTCCTAACGCTCTGTGTGAAGTACCACATTTCTGAAATCTAGACCTGGGTATGGAAAAGAAGCAGGAATAAAGTATGCAGAACAATGAAGAATGGGCCAGCACTGGCTAACTACATGATCTGTACGGCCCAGTGACGCAGAGTCCCTTGTTCAGAGTGTAGAGGAAAAAGTCCATTAAAGACACTAAAATGAAGTCTAGGTGAAGCCCAAAGGTCCTCCCCATGCCTCCTAGGACTCCAAATGGTCCTTATGACTAAGTAGCTGATAAAAGAGCCAAGGACGCTAGCCTTTTTAAACAGAGCAGGGCAGGAAGCTTTTTAATAACATGTGGAGCTCTGTGCGAGGTCAACGACAGCATCTCACTCGAGGTCACATTCACTTCTGGAGGAAGATAAACCTCCTCTTCCTGCCGCAGCCGCCCCTTCTGTTCCCTGAAAGAGAAGCAGCTCTGGAAGGCTTGTGGACGTGCCTGGCCTCACCGTGCCTCACAGCAGAGGCTCCTGTGTCCTGGCTGCCTGGCTGTGGGACCCGGGCCTTCCTGGCCTTGTTTCCTCCAGATAGACCCAGCCTCAGCAGGGGAGGAGTTGCTGTCCTGCAGCCACTGGAGTCCTCCAGGAAGAGAGGCACATCTAAGACACAGCAGCCCCCTGAAACAGAAGGACAGCACAGCTCCCAGGGCTCCAACCAAGGGGCAATTAATGGTTGTACATGACATTTCAGATCAAAATAAAGCCCAAACATTAGGAGGGTGTCTCACCTGGCACACAGTTTAGGAGTAAGTTGGGAGGGGCAAGAACTCCGAGGCCATTAAATAATAAACCCAAAGGAACCCTAAACACCCACTTGTGCCTCTGCCTCCTACTCCCACTCAAAGGCAAAGAGGAAGATACGAACTATCTGACCCCAGCCTTCCTCTGTGGAGCCCTACATTATTGAGCTATCACAGAATGGCAATGCAATGACAGGATTAGTCACTTCTGTGTATTTCCACACCTTTCTTATACACAGAATATGATGAAAGGTGTAGAAATACACAGAAAGGTATATAAAAAAAAATCATATTGTGTCACCAGAGGAAAGGGCTTTCCTTTCCTTGTCCAGTGAAGAACTCATCTAGGTGCTGCCACACAGCATCCACCACTTCTCCCTAAACTTCAACCACAAGCAGGCTCTAGGCTGCTAGAGGAGAGCAGGGATGAGCAGAAGATTGGGGTCCATATTGTGCCTTTGCAGGTGACCACCAGAGCTGGCATCCCAGGCTTCCCTCATGCCTCTGTTCCTTGCCTGGACCACACACAGAATGGCCTGAAGGTGCTATTCCCACCAACATGAGGTTAGGGCTAAGTTTCTTGTAATTTTCTGAGTAAGGGACCACACGCAGGCAGGTGATAGACTGCTGCACTCTGCAATGTATGATCACTTTATCTGCCCATGAGGCCCAGATAAAGTATCAACTCTGAGTTTTCTTGGTAATTGAGGAAAAAATGTTCAAGTTTTTGTGCCTTGGAAAAAAAGAACTCAACACCAGTGTACACCTTGTAGGTTGGGGTGTGGACCCAACACGAGGTGGGCATGTAAGCTCTAGTCAGTCTTGGGCTTCTGTACAGTGAATGTGAAAATGCTGGCCCACACAAGAGGATAAGTCAGCAGCCCCCTGTGAACTGAGCTGTGCTTTACACACCTACAGGGCTCTTTAGAGTTTTATTTAATTACTGTAGAGAAGATAGGTGCTATGTGACAGACAGTCCCAACCTCATCTGGACATAACAAGCAACGGAACTGCTAGACGCCCCCCAGCTGCTCTTCCCTTTCCTAGAGCTCTGCACCCAGCACGTAGCCACAGTCAATGGTCCCCACTGAACACCACCCCTTGGTAAACCTCCACCTGCCTTCACATCAAGTATGCAGCACAATCACTGGTCTTTTGAAATGTAGTTTCCTTTTTCCTCTCTCTTTCTCTAAGGGACGAAGAATGGAAGTAACTATCTAAAGTCCCAACTCCTAAAGTACTCAACATACCAGCAGGAAAAAGCTCTACAGTGGTTTGCTGCAGTGATTCAAATGCAACAAGGCACAGGTTGCCCACTGTGACAGGACTGGTGTGGCCTCCCTATACATATATGTTTTCTGCAGGGGTGCAAAGGCTTAATGGGATCAGCATAGAAACACAAGAGTGAAGGCCCCAGAGCCAATTCTTCCATTAATAGTAAAGGAGAGCTTCCATTAATAGTAAAGGAGAGCTTCACTGAAGAGGGCAGGAGATAGTGACACCCTCAGGTCTGTGGTCCAAGCACAGACTCTCATACTAACATGGCTGCAGCTGTGCATCTGAAAGGACAGGGAAGTTGAGCCTGCTGGCCACAGGACTGGGGACAAAGTGCTCTTTGTGAGGATTCATTTGCCAATTTGGTGAATCCTCACCTAGGCTACTCTGTCTTTACTGGACCAGGCCCTGAAATGAAGTCTTGACTCTCAGGGATGATCTTGTAGATCAGAGTCTGACAGGGAGACTGACGCAGTCAAGAGTAGGCTGAACACCACAAAGGGAGGGGTAGTGGAACCACAGGAGCAGATGAAAGTAGGGGAAGGGATATTCAGGGAGCAAATGCAAAGGTCAAGACAGGCGTGGGCTTGGAACATGGTGACAGACAACATGAGAAGGGAGAGTGTGTGCAGTGC